GCTCTTGCTTGTTCTGGAACTTCATCAGTTTGTGATGTTCTACGGAACTTCATGATTCTCCATCATTCCTATCAATATAACGGAATTAGAAATTCGAACGGCAGAATTTTGGACTTATGCATCGCAAATATAGGTGACTGCTCTGTAACCCAACCTCAGGACTCGGTGTCAGTCCCGATAGACGTTCATCATCCTCCATTTTATATTACGATTCCCTTCTCACCCAATATTTCCACCATGAACCGCAACCAAGTAAAAAAACCTAACTTTTATAAGGCCAATTTTGAACTTATAAATAAACAACTAATGGACGTCTCTTGGAGCGAGATTCTTGACCGTGTTTCTGCAGAGGATTCGGTTAACTTATTCTATGAAACTATTTACGACATTGTCAAAAAGCAAGTGCCTTTTTCAAGATCTAAGTCTATGCGTTATCCGGTATGGTTCAGTCCATCTCTCATACATATCTTTAAAAACAAACGCAAGGCTTGGAATAAATGGAAAATATATAAAAATGAATCAGATTACGAGATATTTTCATTATATAGAACTCGGTTTAAAAGTGAAGCCACAAAATGTTACAATAAGTACATTAATTGTGTCGAGGACTCTATACCCAAAAACATAAACTATTTCTGGGCTTATATAACGAATAAAAAATCTAATGTAGGTATACCGTCAAGTATGACTTACAAAAACCAAACTTCGCAAGATCCGGAAACTATTTGTAATCTGTTTTCATCATTTTTCCAATCTGTTTACCAGCCGTCTACCTTAACTCCCCATTGGGCACCACCAGACAATTATAGCTACCGATGTGATTTGTTGCCCCATATATATCTCGGTGTAACTGCTATTAAAAGCGAATTAAAGAAACTGGATGCTTCCAAAGGCCCAGGACCAGATGGATTGCCAGCAGTGTTTCTTAAGAATACAGCTGAATCAATATGTGATCCATTGAACATCGTGTTTAACAAGTGCATCTCTGAGGGTTTCTTTCCAGACATTTGGAAGTGTGCATACATTGTCCCAATCCATAAAAGTGGTTCTAAACATGACGTCACAAATTATCGCCCAATCTCTATTATCAGTGCAACATCAAAACTCTTCGAGAAACTTGTTCATAATGCCATATACCCATTCTTCCATAATTATATCATTCCTGAGCAACACGGTTTTGTTAAACAAAAATCCACTATGACAAACTTAGCAACTTATACTAACTTTCTTTTCCATAATATCGACAAGGGAGTTCAGGTGGATTCCGTATACACAGATTTTCAGAAGGCGTTTGATAAAGTGGACCACGAAATTCTTCTCAATAAAATAGCGTTTAATGGAATTAGGGGAAATCTTTTGAGGTGGTTTTGCTCATACATATCGAACCGCAGCCTGATAGTCGTAATTAATGGATACAAATCGGGAAGAGCTGGTATGTCGTCTGGAATTCCCCAGGGATCAATATTGGGGCCGCTTCTTTTCATTGTGTTTATAAATGACATGAATGATTGCTTCAAACACACAAATTTTCTTTTATATGCTGACGATCTGAAATTATATAAAGTCATAAAAAATGTTAATGACTGCTCAGAACTTCAAAGCGATCTTGACCGACTTTCTGAATACTGTGCAATTAATAAGTTAAACTTAAGTATCCCCAAATGCAAACAATTAGCTTCACTAAAAACAAGACAGTAATCAAATACGGGTACACCCTTTGTGGCACCATACTAAACAGAGTGACGAACCTTAGAGACCTAGGAATACTGTTTGACTGTAAGTTGCATCTGGACCTACATATAGAATATATCATAAATAAAGCATTTAAAATGTATGGTTATGTTTTTAGAACAGCTACAGACTTCAGGCGCCCCTCCACATTTTTACATCTATATCGTTCACTTATTCGTTCTCAGCTTGAATATGCTTGCCTGATATGGGATCCATTATATAGTAAATATAAAATAGCCATTGAAAAAGTACAAAGAAAATTTCTACGGACTATGCAATTTAGATGCCAACTTCCACGCTTAAACTACAAAGACCTTTTAGCCCGGTATAATTTGCTGTCACTGGAGAAGAGACGAATGCTTCTGCAAATAATGACACTTCACGACCTTTACCATAACAAGCTTAATTGTATGGACCTTAATAATAACATTAAACTTGTGGTTCCTAGATCAATCCACCGTCGCGGGGTGCGCGATTACCGGTTGTTTGATCAGGCATCACACCGGACAAACGCTGGTAAGCGTGCTCCCCTCTGGCGTCTTGCGAAGATCTATAATGAAATCTTTATGGATATTGATTTATTTATGTTAAATAGAAACAATTTTAGAGGTAAAGTCATTGATGTGCTGAGGAGTTTGGATCTTGTATCTTAATATAGCTTTGTTTTGCATGTTGTTTTGCATGTTTCTTCAAATATGGATAATAAATATTGTTATGTGACCTCATCACAGCTTATGTGTCAAAAGGTAATCTGTGGAAAATGTTGTGGATATTACATTAATTTGGTTTTATGTACTTTACTGATGGATATTATATATAATGTAATATTGTTTTTTTTCCCAAATATAATAAAATAAAATAATAAAATAATAAAATAAAATAAATCATTCAGCTAAAAATATAAGCTGCATCAATGAAATGCACCACGCGCCGATGACCACATACGGAGAACAGCTTTTAAAATACCTGGGTATTATGTTATTGACTAAACGCAGCGCGCACCCTCACATACTCATGTTACGTACTCCATTACTTAATCCACACAAATACTTATCTAATTTCCATGTACTGTTATCTAGTGCAGTGTAACTTACATGAGTATTATGAAAATAGCTTCACAGAATCTGGACTGTTTATTCTAAACGAGATTTCTGTGTTGTGGAATTTTCCTGGAATTTTAAAGCTTTTGATGGGATTAAGGAAATTGGTTTCTTTAAAAGACACTTTTATTCTGGGTGAAGGAAACGAGTATTGATATTTTCAAAATCATTGTGTTACTTCCTATTTTTTTTTATGGCATAAGCTGGTGAACGAGCAGACGGATCACCTGATTGTAAGGAATTGGCGTCGCCCATGGACACCTGGAACACCAGAGGCGTTACCGGCCTTTTGGGGATTAGGAGTTTGAGGATCGTTGGGGATTCAGGAATTGGGGATATTGGGGAAGGGAAGGGTAATTGGGCCTCCGGTAACCTCTCTCACATGACGAAACTCAACGCAAGCGTTGCTTCACGTCGGTTTTCTGTGAGGCCGTGGTATCACTTCGGTCGAGCCGGCCCATTCGTGCCGAAGCATGGCTCTCCCACAATTACAGGGGGCTGATTGACAACGTATGAGACTAAACGAAGATAAGATAAACTTATCGAGATGACGATATGCTTAAAACTTTCCAATGAAAATTAAAAATGTTTTCATATTTTTAGGAACTGTCTGTCCAAATGTCCAATATGTCGTATTTCTTAATTAGAGAGCTTGCGTTACTAAAAATGACCAACCAAGACATAAAGCAATTTAAATTATTGACTACAATCGATACAATTACTGACTCTACTATACGTAGAATATTTTTAATTTATTATATAAATTGCCTCGTTACCGAGTAGTCGGGTGTGTGACAGACGGGCAAGGGCTCTCTTCTCGGTTTCGATACCCTCGTCGGGAAAAGTATTACAGGGTTTAAAAAAAAATCTTAGTAGTAGCACGTAGTCTGGAATCGTGCCCAGTATATGGCAATAGGCTCACACCCTATTACATGGGACTAATAACATAAATAGTGAAAAGCGGGTGTTACTTTGTACAGTGGCATAATGTGCACCTCTGCCTACCCCTTCGGAGATAAAAGGCGTGATGTTATGTTATGTTATACCTAGAATAACGAAATTACCGCTATAGGTCGTAGCTATATCCCTATAGGTAATAAAATCCATAACATCAAAATGCAGAGCACTCCTCATACCGACACAAACGAACTTTGTCTTAATTGCCAAATTGGACCTAAACAAACTCGGGTCGTAAACGAAAACGGATGAAGGTCACAATCTAGCATACCCCGAATGTTCAAACTAGTTACTATATTAAATTAACAGTTAAATTAAATACGACTGTTGTTACAAAACTTTTAGCATAAAAGAGCTATACTTAGTAAATAGGAACTAGGAATTTAGGCCCATGAGACTTTAGGGCCTTTTTGGGCCATTTTCGCAGTGGTCGAATCAAATTTATTGGAACATTAAAATGTAAGTAATAAACATAATATCACCCTTCATAGTATATCCCCGAAAGGGTAACCTTATAATCTAATTGTAAATACATATAATCATGTAGAACCCGGAGAAAGAAGTAGTGACCTCTCACTTAGCAATCGCAATTTTAATCATTTGATGCAGGTCTGCGTTTGTGGTCTTAAAAAAAAAGTCAATAGTACCCATATGATAGGGGAAATCGTCCTTGCATTAGATAACCTTGGAGATATGTGTATTCCGTGTACACTTCCATTTACCAGCAACATCCGCATACGTAATGATATCATGACGCTCAAAAATACCAAAAGGGGAAATCTCATTTTCATAAATTTTCTCACTTCGTACAATTTGGAACGAGTGTATACAAGTTTAAACGTTCACTTAGACGAGGATTGCTCAAACAGTTGCCAAAACTTTTCTGATTATGTTAATAATTCTGCGAAAGCAGTGTCCCGAACTTGTTGGTATATCAAAGTGGTGACAAAGTAAAAAAAGTTGCCAACGCAGCTGCGGGTACCCGGGCACAGGTATATACTACCTAAACATCAACATTTATGTTTTATTGCTACAAATTACAAGGTTACATGTTATCTGATATTATTAAATGAATTTCTATTAAGTAATGACTATCACACTGGTAAATAATAACCAGTTTAAACTAGAATTGCTGAGTACAATAGTAGGCTTTAGGTACCCATAGAAACAGCTATTTACTATTTGTTTTCAATTGTGAATACAACAACACACCTTGACAGTTCGGAGCGCGCCGTGAGCCGCGTCTTCTGCCCAAACTTTGACACCATCCTTCTCGTACTCCAGCGTCCAGCCAACTTCTGATTCGAGGAGCTTCTTTAGTGCTTCAAAGTCCGAGTCATCAGCAACGCGCGCTTCGCCGCGCGCCCATCCCGCGCCTCCCATTCGAGCGCGAACATCACAACGCGATGCAAACGGCGAACTGCCGCCGGCCAGTGCTAGCTAGGCAAGTCGATGGCACGCGCATGCGTGGAGATACGACCGCCATTTTAATTTCATTTCTTTTTTAATTTTGATTGCTGGCAGTTGCCAATTGACTTTCTTCCTCACTTTCTTCGATACTTGTCCTATTGTGAGTGTCTCGAGTGACAATCTTTTTTCTTTTAGTTACTTTCAGGGTTGTCAAATTGAAGAAATTGCAGAAGACATATTAAACGTTCTGTGCTCGTCCACTTAATGACTTTAGAAGTTCAATTATTTTGACATCCTTAATTTATAGGAAGTTAATTAGAGTAATTACCGTCAAAGTACTTAATTACCCTATTTAAGTTATTGAACTGGAATGACACAAATGGGTTTAAGTAGATTTGTAGTTATTATAGTGAACTTCATCTTTGATTAGCTTGTGAAGATAATAGCTATCACGTGAGATTGTGTTTGAGTCTCATTCTCAAACTATTCAGACATTTCCTTCACAGTCAAGAACCATAACCTTAGCAGACAAGTAGGTGGTTCCAATTTGCAAGTCTCACTAACATCAGCCTAAATCTCTAAGAACAGTGATGATGTAATGTTAATTAATTACTTATAGGCAGAAGCCCTTGTGTGCGCTGTAGCGTAACGGTCTGACATCGCCATCCATTCAGTTTAATTAATGGTTTAATATCTGTCCTTACTAAGCTAGCGGTTTCTACCAAGCTAACTACTTTGTTCTAAGTCCTAATAACTTAGTCATGATATTTACACTTGATAAGTGCTTAGTAACAGGCACAAAGTCTTCTAGTTATATTCCTTGGTAACTTGACAAATTCATATACGATTCCGTTCAATAGTTTTCTTTTTATTATATATAGAAGTCGTTTCTTGATGAAGATTGTACACAAATGTTCCTGTTACAAAAGCATTAGAGATCGCTTCAATGTATTCTTAGATAGCAGATAAGCCTCCAGACCTTTACTATTTATCAAAAATCGTTATTCTTAATGGTGTATACAATGTTAATTACTTTTTTGTTTTTGAAGTAACAAAATGACAAAGCCGAATGAAAACGATTTTGTAATCTCTTTCCGTGCGGCCGCAGTTCGGTCCACAGTTTGCACACCTACGAAATAAATAGCTATAAACTCTGCTACGCAATGTAAACTACGCGCTACGAACTACGCGCTACGAACAATGCACTACCAACTATGCGTCGTAGCGCTACGATCTACACTATGCGCTACGAACTACGCGTTAGGAATAGCGGATTTTGAGATATTACAGAGATTTAGGGTTACTTACTAACTTGATTCTAAGTATAATGGTCGCACTGTCAAAAATAAATTATATTAATAAAAATGTAGAACATTTAAAACTATTAAAGTAATTTAAAAATAAATTCGACCCCTTCTGAATTCGCCTGTAGGTATGCCAACACAACACAGTCTAATCGAATCAGATATCGAACTGTAACACTATTAGAACCGTACGTGCTCTGTCCCGAATCGGGCTATCAAATGCAAAATAATTTTATTATATTCGACCGGCAGTTACTGAGATTAGCGACAGCAAACTTTTTAACTTTAATATAATTATTATATTATTAGTATAGATAACGGTATTCCATGACGGTCTATAGAGAGTTTAAAATATAAAACACAATTAAAATAAAAACACTGATTGGTTTAATTACTATATCTCGAAAATACATTATATAGGCATGTTTGTTCTCAATTAAATCTAGGTCTAACCTACTTTTAATATTCTAAAATACACTCTAGTTTAATTGATAAGCATTATCGTATTCAATCATCGCTTGAGACATTGGTATCGATTCATACATCCGTAATTCGGTTCAAAGTAAAATCGAGACTACTGTAGGCAAACTTTAAAGCAATAAGGAACTTATAATATTAAACTTAAGGCATAGAATCCTAATTCTCAATTCTTTACCTAGGTATTTAAGAACTTTACAATATATCTGCTATCTGCATGATAGTCATTCAATAGAGTAGATGACAAATTTTTAATCTAATATCCATCTGGTAGATTATTATTTAACATTAGACATGTATTTTAAATTTTCTTTCGGTAACAAATACTTTCGACGATATTTAGATTTGAAACATCGCGTGACGTCACTTCTAGGGACGTAGAAATGACGTTTTAACTCCCACTCCTAAACTTTTATTCGTTTTTATAAGTATTATTTTCTACTAAGAGAAAATAAAAAATACGTGTCTAATATTTTTTCATTATCTAACTGACGGACTAATTAGATTTTTTATTTTCTTACCCTGCCATCATCCCTATTACAGTCATTGAGGTAGTTTTATTTACTACTTAAACTAAACTTAGGTGCCTGTAAAATTTAACTAAACGAGACAACAAATATTAATTAACTAGTCAATCAATGCTGTATATGGTCAAGTGCGACTGCCGGGCAAGGGGTCTCGGGTTCAATTCCCGGGTCGGGCAAAGTATTACTGGGTTTTTAAAAAAATCCCAGTAGTGGCACGGAGTCTGGAATTGTGCCCGGTATATGGCAATAGGCTCACCCCCTATTACATGGGACTCATTACATAAATAGTGAAAAGTGGGTGTTACATTGTACAGTGGCATAATGTGCACCTCTGCCTACCCCTCGAGGATAAAAGGCGTGATGTTATGTTATGTCAATGATGTATCCCAATTCGAAAAAGTATTGTCAACAGATTATTATTATTACTAAAGACTCATTTATATTAAAGCTAGCAGTCACTAATATCAGGCAAGTCTCCTTGGCAGCGTTTCGTCCATCCATGCCAAGCAGGAAATCCTTGGCGCCTGAAGATTTTATGCGCGCAAATAGACGCCTTTGTGATGTCGTCCGTAATCAAATCTGAAAAGAAAATGGCAGTGATATTTAATAGGGTAGATTCCTAAATTTTATTTTGTCCGTCAGGTACATTGATTTATTAAAACTTTAGACACGTATTTTTTCTTTTCTCACAAAATTAAGTACTTGCGACGATATATTAATTTGAAATATCTTGTGACGTCACAGCGTGTCACATTTTGTAGCATGTTATGACGTAGCGACCTCTCACTCCTAAACTTAGCGCCATTTTATCTGAGTATTGCTACTTAATATGAGAAAATAAAAAATAGTACGTGTCTAAATTTTTTTCATTATTTTATTGACGGACTAATTAGATTTTTAATTTTGATACCCTGGAAACTACCTACTTGTCCAAAATATGCAATAAGTAGGTACTATTGAAAGTAAATGGTTTTAGTACTCAATTATTCAAAATAATTCATTGTTTTCACAGGGCTGTCGCACTGTTATAACCAGACATATTATTTTTTATCGTTAGGAATAATAATATTCCTATATTAATTAGGATACAGAATAAAGTTAGAGGAATAAACATATCTCACTATATAATGCTAATTTGTAGAAAATTCAAAACCAATGTTCCGGTAAGTAGGTATCTATAAGACAAACTACTTCGTGAACAAACGAGCCATCAGGCAACCTGATGGTAATGTATCAGCATCATATCACTATAGTGAAATTCTATGAAATTGAAATTATGACCTGAATATTTAAGTATTTTTTTAAACATTGCCCCACACTAGGATTTCATCCTGTGTCGTGGGTGCGTTTACAAACATAAAAGTTCACATACACATGACACCCAGACCTGGAACAACAATCTGTGGATCACACAAAGAGTTGTTCCGTGCGGGAATCGAACACGCGATACGTTGCGTGGCAGTAAGTTGCCCAGCAACCGCGCCAACCGTGTAGTCATAGTGCCGTTTTCTTCAACTTCAACTTACCTGCACAGGTAACACGGCATCCCTTTCCAGGTATTGTGCTGTTACTGCACCAGAAATTGTCGTTAATTTGGAACAGCCCATAATCCCTGGAACCATTCTTGTTTGGTTTACCTATGACGTCAGTGTGGCGAGCACTCTCACTGTCTACCAGACATACCCCTGGAAAATAAAGAAATGAAGAAAATTAGAGATGTGTTGCTTCAGTAGATTAGTATAACTATTTCTAACTAGCTTCGGCCCGCGACTTCGTACTCGTAATCCCGTTTCTCCCATTCCCGTAGGATTTTCAGGACTTTTTTCTGTCATCAGAACCTTCTCCTGACGATAACAAACACGACAAAAAAAATCAACCAAATCGGTCTAGCCGTTCTCAAGTTATAGCGTGACAACGGGAAACGGGTTTCATTTTTATATATATAGATGATACATTTATCGATAGAATGTGGTTTTAGGTAAAAGCTGTGATATGATGGCATGTAATGAAGGGAGAGCTGAATTTTACTGTAAACGGATACAGAAGCAAATGGTTACCAAAAAGTGATGGAAAGACCGTGTGAAGAATGCATATTACACAAGCCCATTTTCGCTGGCCTTATATTTAACCCAAAGGTTGACTGGGAGAAAATGTCATATGGCATTAAGTCCACCTTATATACCTCATTTTGGGTGCATTAAAGTGTTAATAAATAAATTTAAAAAAAAGAATAAAAACCCATTATTAAACAGCAAGGAGTTTGTGATACTACTAGGTAGGAGGTTGGAAAAGTTGCTTAGAATGAGGGCAGAAAGAAGAATAGGTATAAGTTTTTTTTTAAATGTGATATCAATAGTTAAAACAATACTTACAATCCCTCATCTGGTCTTCAGCAAAATTTTGTTTTCTCAGTTCATGAACTAAATCGCAATGCGTCTTAAAATATTTCGCATTGCAACAAGCGTAGAGTGCAACAAATACTAGAAAACAAATGAATGGCTTCATTTTTTATTTAAAATAGGTTGTCAATTGTTATTGAATCAAAAATATTCGAGCACACAATATGTTTGGCAGAATCAAACTGATTACTTTTAACAAAAAACCAGTTTATATACGTATTTTATATATTTGTATTTATCTTGTTTTTGTAATTGTTAAGGAGTATGTACACTTCGTTGATAGACCTGGTATTTATTTATTGATTGGTAGGTTACATTACCGATTTTTTTTAATCGGAGAAAATCATCGAATGACTTCTCCGGCCTGGGTGAAGGAAGGGAGTGTCAGACTCTTACTGACTAAAAACCACCCCGTTCCTACTCCTGCACTTCGAGGCGCAGCCCCGGTAACCCGGTAGGTTTTCCGCGGCTTTATTAGTGAATAGACTGGGTTTAGCAAAATTAAATGTGTTCTCTAGATCATTCAATTAGGTTTTTGGAAAATAGGTTTTATGATCTTTTTCATCCTTACTTATATCCTTATCCTTACTTATATTATAAATCGGAAAGTGAGTTTGTTTGTTTGTTTGTTTGTTCCACTTTAACGCAGTAACTACTAAACCGATTGCTTTGAAATTTTGCAGACGTAAAGTTCGAAGTCCGGATTAAATAATAGGGTACTTTTATCCAGGAAAAAGATATTGATATTCCCGAGCGAAAACAAAAGCACTTGGTATAGATGGCGCTGTGTGTATAGGTATATGTCACATTGGCTTTTTATCCTTTTGTGACGCGAGCGAAGCCGCGGGTAAAAGCTAGTTCACTCATAAATCCTCATAGCAGCTCGGAATTTGGAATCAACTACACTATTCTGTTACTTCCAATTCGTAAGATCGGATTGAACTCGATCGCGGTCCGCCATGTCATAGGTTGTGAGAATAATCTCGAACAATGATAGGCGAGAATGCGATACTTTCTCTTCTATCTCGAGATCGATCGATTCGATCACTTTGAAATTTCAAATAGCCAAGCTGGCCCGGTGCACGACAATATAAGCTACCTCAGTTATATGGAACCAACAATACTTATTGTTGTTGAAGTGGTAAGTTTTCATTTAAATAAATGATGGACACTTTTTGTAAGTATTTATTTTATAAATATGAAAAACACATTGTTGTGCGACAAGCGATGATTCGTATTCTGCTCGGTTACCTTCCCATTGAACGACTAGATGGCGCTATTTGTAACTTCCCATGTTTAGATTATAATATTTACCTTATTACAATAAATATAACTGGTAAAACCTACAAATCTCCAACTAACCGGGAAAAAAATGAAGATATAAAATAATATCTTTCCGTTTTTCTGCGTAATTCAAAAATTTTATACAAAAGTCGCAGCTACACATTGTACAAGTGTATAAAGTATCTAACAGTTAGCAAACTGCTAATGATTATCTTGTGTGTATGACTCGATGACTCATAACTCGATAACTCGCTTTGCAGAAAGGGGATTCCTCGACGCGTGCGACCCACCTATGTATGTATAATACCTATGTATTTACTATGCACGCCACGTTTATATATGTAGTTACGTGCAAGAATTAATAAACTTGTTCTTTGTTTTGTACCGGTGACGTACAATTTGTGAACCAATTAAATCTCCTTATTCTTCAGGGTTTAGTATTAAGCATTAAAGTGTGGGAGATCCCTGCGTCGGCACGGATGGGCCGGCTCGACCGGAATGATACCACGGCCGAGCAGAAAACCGACGTGAAGCAACGCTTGTTTCGTCGTGTGAGTGAGGTTACCGGAGGTCCAATTACCCTCCCCTTCCCCAATCCATGAATCCCCAACGATCCTCAAACTCCTAATCCCCAAAAGGCCGGTGACGCACTTGTAAGGCCTCTGGTGTTCCACCCCAGCAATGTCATCGTCAATTAAATACGGACTTTAAATCGTGTGTGGTATGATATATGTCATAAAGTCAATATGTATAAAAAAACTTTAAACACGCCGCCAGCGGGCCGACGGAGCGCCGACGGAGCACCAACGGCACGCTTACCTACCTATATAACCTTTTTGTATTGTTTCCAAAGCACAAAACGCCGTGCCGGAGCCGTGCCGCAGCCGTGCCGTTGTTAGGTGTACGAGGACTTTTACCTAATTTATAAAGCTGACGAGTTTGTATGTTGGCCTTTACCGACTAAAAAAAAACGAGGAGATACTATGATCGGCTGATTGTTTTTTTTTGTTTGTTCGCGCATTACTCCGCAATTTGTGAACCGATTTTCAAAATTCTTGTTCTGGTTGATATAGGGTGTACTCCCGAGATGGTCCCATTTCCATGAGGTCAGGATCTGATGATGGGATCCTAGGGAAAAAGAGGGGAACTTTCGAAAATTGTAGGGGCGAGTAATGCGTCTGTTATGTTTTTCAATTAGGATTTTTAAACACTACAGTTTTAACGATTTTTATGGTGAAGACCGATTTTCCTTATTACCTACATATTTGCCAAAAATAGTTTGTTTGTTTTTCGTCTCATATCTATCGATTTCAACGAGTGTGTTACACTTTTGTTATCAACGTAGTATTATTAGAATCATAAATTATTAACGATAACGTTATAATGTTATTCCCCAAACTTCTTGACACACCCACTGAAGCACTAGTTCGTAATATCGATAATTCATTATGTATTGTGGTTTGAGTACCTATTATGTAACAATAGTAGGTATCTAAAGATTACCTGTATTGCTATTGATTTCATAGAGAAAAAATACGCCACTTAAGTTTAGAAATAAGAATTGAAAAGATGCCTAGGCTCTTTTCCCAGCCCACTCATGAAGCCGTGTTATTCATTTCATTGTACCTAAAACAAAAGAATTATTTATATCAATCAAAAACAGATAAAATTTTCGGCAAAAATAATTATTATACTATGCATTTACAGAAATTAGCCACGTCTACTTACAATAACACTAGGGTAGATGCCTAATTTTTTATTTTAATGTCCGTCTGGTAGATTATTTGAAATCATTAGAAACGTATTTTTTATTTCCTTACAGAAACGAATACTTTCGACGATATAATGATTTGAAATGTCGCGTGACGTCACTTCTATGTACATTTTATTCGTAGAAATGACGTCCAATATTGTCCAATATTTTTTCATTACCTAACTTACAGACTAATCAGATTTTTAATTTTCATACCCTGTCATCATCCCAATTACCTGGCTTGAAAATTGAACCTAGAGCGTCTGTGTGCACCTAACTATAATTTTTTTATCTAGATACCTAACCTTTTCAGTTTTCACTTAAAAACTTTAATAGGTACGTCTACGGGTTCTAATTATAATTAGTACCTATAGATATTATTGGTAGGTATACTTAATTAAAATTCAATGTCTATAGATGTAACATTAATTATTTAATTAAATACTTTGATATTAATAAACCACAAACACTGAAATGTAAACAACATAATATTAAGTCATAATAAAGTAATGATAATTGCGGGCAGGAAAATGCAACACCTACCTAACAATATGAGTGTATCTTTAACAATAAGGACCAAAAACCTTGTATGACTAACTAATAAACAGCAGACGTGGTGTACCTATGTATCTTTATGGTTATTTTAGAGTTCTGTAGTCTTACAAGTCTTCAACATAGTGAATTAACGATACAACTTTTTTCTAGGATAAATATCTATTCGATCCAATACTCAACATTACATTACTAAACATAAAATAATAGAGCAGCAGTGATCTGTGACATTTAAACCTTTTGAATTTAAACTACGATCTCTGACTAAACGTGAAGATGTGACCATAATCAAGACTGCCATTTTTTTTCTTTTTGATGGGATAAGCCGGTAAACGATTATGCGTATCACCTGATGGTAAGCGATTGGGGAAGGGGAGGGTAATTGGGAACCTCAGTCACATGACGAAACACAACACAAGCGTTGCTTCACGTCGGTTTTGTGTGAGGCCGTGGTGGCATCACTCTGGTCGAGCCGGCCCGTTCTTGCTGAAGCATGGCTCTCCCACACTTAAACGCGTTGTTAATGATGATTCCGAACTTAACGGGTTGCCGGGGCTAGGAATAGGAGAGTAGTTTTTAGTCATTAAGCCTCTGGCACTCCCTTCCGCCCCACCCAGGCGGGAAAAATCACTCGATGATTAAAAAAAAACTTAAAAATAAAATTATGATTTCTAACTACATAATTATCTAGTTGCTAACAACATAACTTTAATGATTTATACAGAACCCAGACAGAAATACACTTGAGTCTTGACTAGTTATTTTAACCGAGTTCGTAAGACACTGATAAAGGGGCGGCCCCGGCCGCTTGGAGACAGACACTTATTTTGTACATCATATTTTCCTTGTGTAGTCTCAACTGTTTGATTGCTAATATGACGTATTCACTTAACAACAACAACATCACGCCCAGTTTAAACTGTCAAACACCACGAGGACACCGGTGACCGCAACCTATTGTTCTTTAATTGCGTCTATAATGACGGTACTCAAAGGGTTAAGACAGCCCTGTTTTAAACTTCGCTGGGTCCATTTTGGAATGTTTCTTTTTTCAACGTTCCCCATACTAGGATTTTCTCCTATATCGCGGGTGCGTTTACAAACACAAATACACATGACACCCAGACCAGTGTCGGGGAATCAGAACCCGTTATAGTATGTCTGTCGTAGAAATTGTTTGAGTCCCTAATTTTGTCAAAAGAAAACTGCATTTTCACCAAAACCGAAAATATTGAATATCTCAGAAACTAGCCACTTTCAAAATGTTTCAAAATGTCGTGGTGGCCCGGAGGTTTAAGACTCCCACTTCTCATGCATGAGGGTGCGGGTTCGAAACCTACCATCGGCAAGTACCAATGTGACTTAAAATCGCCAACCCGCATTGAGCCAGCGTGGTGATTAATGCTCTAACCTTCTCCGTGTGAGAAGAGGCTTTGCTCAGCAGTGGGCATTTATAGGCTGTTGATGATAGCCACTTTCAGATCATAGACCTCAGGGCTTATTTTGTAAGAAATTAGTTGTATTATCACTCCCCGAGAGGAATACGTCGAGTTACAAGTTACCCTGTATATAACTAAAGAGACTGTATGTTTAACGCACTAATCTCCGGAACTACAGGTACTATTTAAATAAATCTTTTTGTGTTGGATAGTCCATCAATCGAGGAAGGCTATAAGATTTCACACAACAATCAATAGGAGCCGGCAGAGTGGATGAATCCGCATGGGAGTAGCAAGTCATACACAATTTTGACAATGTTATCTACGTACGGAGTCTGGAATTGTGCCCGGTATATGGCAATAGACTCACCCCTAATTACATGGGACTCATAACATAAATAGTGAAAAGTGGGTGTTACATTGTACAGTGACATTAAGTCCCGTAATGTCCACCTCTGACTACCTCCTTCGTGCATAAAAGGCGTGATCTTATCTACGTATACTAGTTAACTGTACTGTAACTAGTCCTAGAAATGACTTTATTGTTCTTAACTATCTGAATACTGAATCTAATAGGAAAATCTTTTTCTTCGTAATTACATATCTTTTGTTTATTATTTACTACTTAAGTAATACATATAGGATTAATAACTCTTATCGTTCACAAGCACATTACGAAATATCGATGAGTTTATCTTGTTTTATCAAGACTGCATTTTATTGCAATTTTTATTATTTTTAATTGCGATTCATTTGTTTATCTTTAGCATTGTATCTTTAGAATAAGTACCTGTATGTTCGTTACTGGTTTGATCAAAGTCAAAGTCAAAAGTCAAAATCATTTATTTCAATTAGACCAGGAAGGCATTTTTGAACGTCAGCAATAGAAATTTAAAAGTGAAGCTATTTGCTCATTCCAAGGTGTAGATTCCTATGGAGAAGAACGAGCAAGAAACTCCATAGGTTACTCATTTCCAATCAGGTTCACAATACAATTCTCCAGTTACACAGTTTTATTAGTTCGATTGTGCGAGAACAATGTAACAAAATCGAGTCAAAGAGATCGAGTCGTTCTCTCTTATCTACTATCTTATATGCTTAGTTTACAAAAAATATTCTAGCAATATGTTTAAAAGCCTATTACATATTCTTCTCTTCTTTGTGAACAAAAAACATTTTTTTATGGCATGCAGCCTGCATCACCTGATAGTAAGCAACCGGCGCCGCCCATGGACACCTGGAACACCAAGGCGTTACAAGTGCGTTACCGGCCTTTTATGAATTAGGAATTTGAGGATTGTGGAGGATTCGGGGATTGGGGAGACTGGGGAGGGGGGATAATTGGGTCTCCAGTAACCTCACTAATACGACGAAACAACGCGAGCGATGTTTCACGTCGGTTTTCTGTGAGGCCGTGGTATCACTCCGGTCGAGCCGGCCCATTCGTGCCGAAGCATGGCTCTCCCACAGTAAAGCGCGATATTGAGAACAAACATTAATTGCTCTTTGGAAATTGTGAAGGTAACAAATCAGTTTAAACTAGCTTACTTAAGATCTTTCTAAATGACCTAGGTATTTGCGTTACTACAAACTTATTGTTTACATTAATTGTCACATACTGCAAAGTAGGTATTTTTGCAATCAATATCTAAGTACTATACCTACTTATACCTAGTCACAAAACAAACACTCAACAGATTGATTGCAATCAAAGGATGTACCTAGACCTGAAAAACTGTCGCGGAGAACGTAACGGGTAACCGGGGCTCCGGCTCGACGTGCAGGAGAAGGAACGGGGTGGTTTTTAGTCAGTAAGAGTCTGACACTCCCTTCCGCCTCACCCAGGCGGGAACAGTCATTCGATGATTTTCCACCCTTAAAAAAAAAGAGCTGAAAAACTATGTTTGTTCAAAGGCACTAAACTTCGAAACTGTTGCCCCAATTTTAATCATTGTCAGTTCTAACAATAACAATAGCAACAACGCTTGGAAGAGACCAATAAAACTGAGGAACTTACTAAGCCTCTAGTAGTCTAGTAGGTACCTAAGCCAAGTTCTCCATATTCTATTAATCCTCTGTATTCCTTCCGAGGTACTCAATGTTTGAACAAGGTTGTTTTACTTGACTTGATATTAAATAAGACTGAAACTATAAAAAATAACGGTCGAAATGCTGAACTTATAATAAGAGCCACCATGACTGTCATAGTAACTAAAGTTCCATTCCATAGGTACCATATAGCTGAAATATAATGTAATCAACAAAAGAAGTCGGTTAATAAATAACAATATTCGACAAAAATTCTTAAAAACAGCTGATTAAACAAAGTTCTTCCCAACTCCCCAGTAACACGATGTTATTGTTTACAAAAACAAAACATTTTCCTACTATCTGCATCTTTGTTGCAACAGTTTACTTCGCAACGCTTATAATATGACCCTAGGCGTTTTTGTTCTGATAAAATGGAATCCCCTGTTCCCAGTTACACACCCACACATGCACACGGTCCATATATAAATAGCCACGGATAAATCTTCGTCAGACACGGTCTAGACTTCGAACGAACAAGTCGTTTGAATTTTAAATAAGGAATCATGCAGAAGCTAACGGTTTTTGTTCTTGCGCTTGCGGCGATCTGCTTGCATTGTGAAGCGAAACAGTTTACGCGATGCGGACTGGTTCAGGAGCTGAGGAGGCAAGGGTTCCCTGAGGATAAGATGAGGGATTGTGAGTACAGATTTTTTTATTTTACTTTGTTTAGTTTTTATGTAGTGTAAAACTGAAAGTTAGTAAATAAATAAACAAATAATTATTACAATTATTATTTCTCTATTCTAATTAACTTTTTTATTAAAATTCAATACTTTTTTTGAACTATCAAATAGGACTGTTTTCTATTTTGTACGAGATTGTGTATTGTGACGTCACGTTTTTTTAGCGTCAAATAGCATACTTCATTCAAGAATTTGCTGATAAATGACTAAAACCAAGTTGGTCATAAAATCAATTAATAAAAGTGTTTTTGATATTGACTATTTTTGATAATTTATTGTTTTAAACAGTCGAAATAATTTATATTTATTATAAGCAAGTACCTAATTACCTACAGAGCTCAAACGTTATACCGGTATATTAGCGGTCATACGGTATCGAACAGTTTCAGAGCGTGGCGTTACTAAGAAATAAAAATCTATAATTTCCACAAAACATCCTGAAAATCGTACCCGAAACGTGTTATTTCGCAATCACTATTACGACCACTAGACCAATGAGTTACTGTTTTCCATAGGGGTGTGCCTGGTAGAAAATGAGAGTGGCAGGAAGACTGACAAGACGGGCACCGTCAACAAGAACGGATCCCGGGACTACGGCCTGTTCCAGATAAACGACAAGTACTGGTGCAGCAACACTAGCACTCCTGGCAAGGATTGCAACGTCACTTGTGCACGTAAGTATCACTTGCTATACTTCTTTTTTGTTTTTTTTTATGAAAACGTTGCTCTACACTAGGATTTTCTCCTATGTCGTGTGTGTTTACAAACATACAAGTTCACATGCATATGACACCTAGACCCGGAACAACAATCTGTGGATCACAACAAAGAGTTAATCCGTGCGGGAATCGAGACCGCGACACGTTGCGCGGCGGTTCATTGCCTAACCACCGCGCCAAGCAACGGTGCAGTCAAGTCAAGTCAATCATATATAGAAAATGTAGTGACGTTACTATGAAGTCGCACTATCTGTTTAAGCCAATCAAGAGACGAACAAATTATCCTTAACTCACTCTAAAAATATTAAAGAGACACTTGACTAACAACGGGTGAAAATGTGAAAGTAGCTGTTTTTATTTCGCCATTAATTTCTAAATGCGCTAAGCCAAGGTGCAATTTCAAATATAAATGTAGCATCTATGTTTTTCGATAGTTTTGTAATGAGTCCCGTATAGGTATCTACTATTACATACACAAAGCACACAGCCTTAACTTCAAAATAGGCTATACTAGCTTTAACCCGCGGCTTTGTACCCGTATTACGTTTACTAGAGCATTTAATCGGAATAAAAAGTATTCTATCACAGGTATATCAAATGTTGTATGTATGTAAATACAACATTTGATATACAGGCAGGGTATGGGCTGACCTGTGATAGAATACTTTTTATTCCGATTAAATGCTCTAGTAAACGTAATAGTATTTACATACATACAACATTTGATATACAGGCAGGGTATGGTATGCCTGTATGTAAAATCCGTTCAGTGGTTTCAGCGTGATTGATTGACAAATATACAAACAAAGAAATATCACATTTATAATATATTAGTTTAATTATAGACAGTAGAATAATCGAACAATTTTTGCAGCCCAGCCACAATGACATTCCATTATACATGATCGTCCCACTACAGGACAAAAGCTTCACATACAATGACAAAAATCTTCAGCCACTAATTTTCTTCTTCGTTTCCAGAAATGCTGTTAGACGACATCACCCTAGCTTCTCAGTGCGCCAAGAAGATCTACAAACGTCACAAGTTCGAGGCCTGGTACGGATGGAAGAACCACTGCAAAGGAAAGACCCTGCCTGACATCAGCAACTGCTAAACTCTAGCATTTTAAGCATACCAAAGACTAAGTTTAGAAAAAAATAAATATTTTTTTTAAATTCAAAGAAATTGGGATGATGATTTTATGTCAAAAATAGTTTGTATATAGTTCAAAATTTATTTGAGTGCCTGTCTATTAATAGTGCTTTTCACATTATCTTATTTAACCAACTAATTTCGTTTTCGTATTTTTGGGTAATTTACAAAAATCACAAAAATGTATCGTTTTCCACATTTCATAATTTGTTTTGTTACCATCATCCCTTTGTAGAATGAAGACTGTGTAAAGCTCTGTATTATTAATTAATATTCTCTAATTTTGTATAAAGAACTTAATATCGATTTAAAACCAACTTTATGCATTTAAACTGTCAAACACCAAGCGGTCACGGGTGACCGCGACCTATTGTTCTTTAATTGTGTCTATAAAACCGGTACTCGACGAGTTAAACATATAATGTAGTTTTTAAAAATAAAATTCATATTTTCTATTATTAATATATATATTTTATTATTATTTCCTAATTCGAAAATTATAATACAATTAAATTATATATAAGGGAGAACATTATTGATTGGAACCTTCTTTGAAAATTTAAATAACTGGCTGGTTACAAAGATGTTCTAAAGATTGGGAATGTAAATATTTATGAACAAAGATAAGTTGTCTATGACACATAAATAAATTGTTGCTTTTTGGTTAGATTATTATTGAAATGTAGAAGACTAATCGAAACGAGACTGCGTTCGGCGCTCTGATTGGTTAGTTCATTGGCGCCGGCCAATCAGAGCGCCGAATTACTCGTCTCAATTACTTTTAACGTAAAACAAACTCGTAACAACTTAAAAAGACATTCTGAAGGCGGCTAAGCCTTCAGAATGTCCTTTTAAACAAAATGTTGTAGTTTTCCGAAAAAGTTTTGTTTGCAAAATAGCCTTAATCGTATTTTGTATCCAGCAATATTTTTAGACGTTTCATACATGTCTATTCTTTAATTTTTCTTCAACTTTCTTCTCAGCTTCCACAACTTTCTTTAGTAACAATTCTTCCATTGTTTTAAGCTGAAATTAAAATAAATTATTAGTACCACATAGTAGTTACCATAAAAGCTATAGAAGGTTCTAACTTGAGATAAAAATCAACTTTACGAAAGTGTCATAAAGTCAATTTTCAAATGTATAATATCTACATAAGATTATAAGATCTACATCTTACAATGAAAACTAAACTTTACGCGCGAGTCATAGAATTCATTTTCGAATTTATCTTTAAAAAAGACAGACTTAATAAGTTCAAAAAGTAATTTAATTGTACTTATAACGATTAAAATCATATGCTTACCTCAGTACAGAAGTTATTCTTAATCGTCGCCAACTGTTCAATCCCAGCAGTTTTCTCATTCTCATACTTGGTCGTCAACTCTTTGATTTCCTCTGTTCTTTGCAGCGCCTTCTTCGATCGTTCTCGAAGCTTCTTGTCTTTTTCTTCAGCCTCTCTTAGGGAACTGTAAAATGAAATTGTGTAAATAAACAGTTGAAGCCTATGTTTTTATAATAACTATCGTGAGACATACTAAATAAGTAAAAACGCGGGCTCGCAGCGCAGGTGGCAACACCGAGGCGAGCGCCGACGCCAGCCAGTGAGCTGCGCGTCGTCGCCGCGACCGCGCACGCTGCTCACGAGGAAGAACCCCTCTGTGGTTCGAAACTAGTAGAGCTTTTCTCAGTATATTCACGTGAGTAACCCGCGATTTTACTTAAGTTGAAGCCTATGTTGTCAGCTTGAAGTGGCTGTTAGTAGCTAATTGGTGGCTGTAGGAACATAATTGCTCTTCGTTATCAATAGGCGTCATCTGCGAAGTTTTCGGACGCCAGAGGGTTGTAGTGTGTATGTATGTATACATGTCCATTGCTAGATCTAAGTGTGTAATTCATATATATCGGATTGTATCCAATATTTAGAGGAGTATTAAATGTAACTTCAAACAATAAAGTTGTTTCTCTAATCTCCCCGATGCACCACCTTACATGGCGACCCTGCCAATTAAGGCGGCCGACTCGGGTTCCGTCGCGCGTTCGCGTATAAATTACGTACCTAAATAAATTAAAATAATTATATACAAATACAAAGTGGTCAAACTCGAAATGTGCCGAGCAAAAGTCGAAAAGGAAGAAGTCTTTATAACACAAAATGCTGCCGGAGGATCTAACTCAGCGAAGATTCAAGAATACCACCTTTCAAACATTAGCATAGTGCTAATTGTAATGTGCACTATGATTGGAATTGCTGGTTTATATGCAGTCTATAGATTGTATAGAAACTGTCACCATACTTGGATTAGAAACGAATTTTTGACACAACAATTGATGCGGTCTTTTCGGCGACCAGAGGACGAGTTGTGTACGAAGGACACCAGCGCCAAGTGATGCAGAGCTGCGAGCACCGTCAGCAACCATATCGACAGGAGCCAGTGATGAAAGTGCAAGATCAGTGTTAAAAATATCAGTGTCGAAAAGATATTGTGCTATAATGAAGAGTGAAATGTGAAAAAAAAAAGTGTATTGAGTTAAAGTTTCCTAACCTATTGACTATAACGTACTAAATGCCATAATTTTATGTAGATTTAATTTTAGCACTTTATGGACTTATAATTGCATAGACTAGTTTGAGGTGTAGAGATAAATTTAGCGTAATTCAAATATGTTGTAATTTGCCTAAGGTTTAAGGATTGTGTCAATATGTTATGGCCACGGAGCTAAAAACTGTTTATGATAAGTTAAAGAGTATAAAAACTAATTTAGTTAAATCTAATTATTCTCGAAGGACCAAAGTATATTTGCAACAAAAGTTAAATGAGGCCACGCAATTACGGAGACAATTTGATGGCTGTATGCTTATTTTGTCTCAGCAAATAGAGCGGAAACAATTGAAAAGTCCGGTTTTGGTAGAAATACAGGCATATTGTGATTTGATTAGACAAATTTATATTGAAATAGAAGGCATATGTTCTAAGGAGTACTGCTCCCCTTCTCATAGTATTGTTGAAGGTATCGACAGTGAATCTATCGACATGGCTAGTTTCGATTTAAGATAGCTACGTCTCTCTTGCCGGTTATGACGGGTGATGAGAATATCACTAAGGACCTAATCGATGCTATAGAATTGTATAGTTCCACACTTAATGACCAAGGTAACAACATGCTTATAAAATTTATATTAAAAACGCGCTTAAATCAAAGTGCAAAACTAAGGTTATCAAGTACCTATGAAACATGTGACGCGCTACTGGCAGACATGCGTCTGCAATTATTAAGTAAAAAATCAAGCACTTCTATTCATAAGGAAATGCTAGAATTGAAACAAAATGGCATGTCCTTGGATAATTATGGCCGTAAAATAGAACAATTATTCGTAGATTTAACGATTTCCCAAGCCGACGGTGACCAAAATGCGTATACAGTTTTACGTCCATTAAATGAAAAGATTGCAGTTAGAAGTTTCAACGACGGCCTACGAAATCGACAGCTAAGCACTATACTATCCGCACGTAATTATACCAGTCTAAAAGATACTATTAGGGCGGCTAAGGATGAAGAGGCATCAAGTAGTCAACAGAATCCGGAACCGTCTGTGTATTTCGGAAATAGAGGAAAATTCAATAATAATAGATATTTTCGAAACAACAACAGAGGTAATTTTTCAGGACGGTTTGGACAATCTAATCACCAGTGGGCGCGGGGTAGTTTACATACAACTTATGCTAATCGCCAACCTCGTGGTCAAATTTCAGGAACATATCCACAACGTGGTGGAGGTTATTCTAGACGTGGACAAAGTGGATTCCATGGTGGTAAGCATAACCGAAATTTCACTCGCTCTAACAATAGTATGCATTTTATGAATAATACGGTAGATAACACGACATCGGACGATCGGTTATTACCAAACTCTAAGAACAATGGAAACGAACTTTTGCAGTTTTTTCGATAACAATTTCGTATTAGCTTGTGAGTATAATAGTTCGGTGGAATGTTCAATACAAGATGCCAAATATAGTTTGCTTATAGATTCCGGAGCATCTTTGTCGGTATTAAAACATGAAACGGTGAAGCATTGGAATATTCCAATGCACACCGAATGCATTTCCATAAATGGTATTGGAGGCAAAGTACAAACCGTGGGGTATGTTTTTATTACGCTCAACATAAATGGAAATGAATTTATACACAAATTTTATGTTATGAAATTCTTACCATGTATGCAACACGGTATAATTGGTCGAGATTTTATGAGAAGATACAAAGCTATTTTAAATTTTGAAAATAATACCTTGATACTAAGTAATAATAACAATACTGTTACATCTACTATGACTAATGGTACATTAGGTACGACAAATTTTCTAAGTATTCCACCGAGGTGTGAAAAAATATTTCAAATAGACTGTTCTTTTAAAAATGAATGTGTAGTGATACCTGATGAATTAGGAAAAGGAGTTTTCTTAGCTGGAAGTATATGTAAACCGGTTAACGGGAAAATAAATATACAAATACTAAATACTCGGTTAACAACAGTAAATTTAAATTATTTTAGGCCAGAAATACACAAATTATCAGAATATGAAATATTAAATTTTGAAAGAAACAATAATATTGATGGAGATAGAGTACGCACTATGTTTGCACATTTGAATTTAAGTCATTTAAATGAAGAGGAAAGCAAATCGATCCAAAATATTTGTGCAAAATTTTCAGATGTTTTTCATTTACCCAATGATAAATTAACAACTACGAATCTTTTCGATCAAACTATCCAGCTAAAGACGAATGCAGATCCAGTTTATGTTAAACAATATAGACTACCATTTTCACAACGTGTTGAAGTTGAAAAGCAAATTAAAACAATGCTGTCAGATGGTATTATAGAACCTTCAAAAAGTGAATGGTCTAGTCCCATTTTACTAGTACCTAAAAAGTCTAATGATGAAACAAAAAAATGGAGATTAGTGATTGACTTTCGTAAATTAAATGACAGGATATTAGATGATAAATTCCCACTACCTAATATTACAGATATTCTGGATTCATTATCCGGTGCAATGTATTTTTCTCAATTAGACTTATCTCAAGCTTATTATCAGTCAAATTTAAGTCCCGAATCTAGAAAATATACAGCATTCACTACTCCGTCGGGGCAGTATCAAATGACGCGTCTTCCGATGGGTTTAAAAATTAGCCCAAGTGCTTTCTCTCGTCTGATGACAGTTGCGTTGTCAGGGCTCACCTACGAAAAGTTATTCATTTACCTAGATAATTTAATTTGTTTTGGTCGCAACCTTGAGAGTCACAATAAAAATCTGATAGATATTTTAACTAGGTTACGTGAAGTTAATTTAAAATTGAATCCGGAGAAATGCGATTTCTTACGGAAGGAAATGCAATTTCTAGGTCATATTATTTCTACGGAAGGTATAAAACCAGACCCTGAAAAAATTAATGTCGTTAAAAATTACCCCATACCAAGAAATGTTGATGAAACAAAAAGATTTGTAGCTTTTACTAACTTTTACAGAAAATTTATACCTAACTTCGCAGAAATATCATTACCTTTAAACAAGCTTTGCCGCAAAAATGTTCATTTTGTTTGGTCCCATGAGTGTCAAGAATCCTTTTCTAAGTTAAAGAATGCATTAATATCTCCACCAATATTACAATATCCAAATTTAGAAGAAAGTAATAGGTTTATTTTGCAAACTGATGCCTCTGGTTATGCAATTGGATCGGTATTATGTAATAGCGATAATAGACCGGTAGCGTTTGCGAGTAGGAGTTTAAATAAAGCTGAAATTCGATACCCTACTATTGAGAAAGAGCTACTAGCTATTGTATGGTCTGTAAAATATTTTAAACCTTATCTTTATGGACGAAAGTTTATAATCAAAACTGACCACAAACCACTAATTTATTTATTCAACATGACAAACCCATCAAGTCGTCTCACGAAATTTCGATTATTATTGGAAGAGTACGATTATGAGGTTGAATATGTTCGAGGAAGAGACAATGCAGCTGCAGATGCATTGTCGCGTATTCGAATATCGAGTGAGGACTTAAAAGGGATGAATGAACATGTTATGTCAGTATTAACTAGGGCTCAGAAAAAACGACTGAACGAAAATATACAAAATGTGTCTGATAATCCTATGGTTGATAAGGTAGACACCGACAATTGGACTGATCATCCAAGAGTTGTGGATATTCTTAAAAAACCAGAGGATTGTACAGAATTAATATTTGTAGATGAAAGAGAATGGAATAAAATCGACAATATGTCAATGGAAATGTCAGCAAAATTCGCTTATTCTTCATCTAAGTCCGCTGTTTACGTAAACCCTTCTTTCCGATCATATTGCGCACGAGATGCCTTTGTGAGGGAGTTGTGTAACTTATGCAAACGGATAGGAATACATAAAATTTATCTTATTAAAAATGCTAGTAATGAGAAACTAGTAGACGAGTTAACTCGGTTTATAAGAGACACCCCAGCGTGGTCCGGACCACAATTATATATTTTAAAGGGGGTCCAACGAATAAGCGATCACGATACAAAGCGTGTTATACTAAATGACTATCATATGTTACCGACGAGTGGCCACGCCGGTATCAGGCGAATGATAAATAATATTAAAAAACGTTACTTTTGGCCAGGACTAGAGAAAGACGTAACCGAATTTGTAAGTCGTTGTGACAAGTGTTTACGTCAAAAACATTTTAATAAGTACATTAAGCAGCCGATGGTGATAACGGATACAGGACGTTGCACTTTCGACAGAATTTATTTAGATTTAGTAGGGCCCTTATGTAAGGATAGCGATAGTTATATGTATATTCTCACACTTCAGTGTGACCTTAGTAAGTATGTTGAAGCGTATCCGCTTAGAAATAAGGATACTATTTCAGTAGCAAGAGCGTTTGTAAATAATTTTATCTTGCGTTACGGAATGCCTAAGCAAGTTATATCAGATAGAGGCACAGAGTTCGTGTCAACAGTAATGAGGGAAGTGTGTAATCTGCTTCAAATTTCACAGTTGACATCAACATCTTACCATCATCAGTCAATAGGAAGTTTAGAAAACACACATAAACATTTAATGTCTTTCCTTCGTATTCAAACAGATAATGACCCTTATAATTGGAGCACGTGGTTACCATACTGGTGTTTTGCCTTTAACACTACAGTGCACTCCGAAACTAAGTATACTCCATATGAGTTAGTTTTTGGCAGACTTTGTAAATTACCGAGCAATTTAACATCAAATCTAGAACCATTATATAATCATTATGATTACCCTAAAGAATTGAAGTACAGACTACAAAAATCACAACACGACGCAAGACAAAATTTAGTTACAAAAAAAGAAATTAGAAAAATTAAGTATGACTGCAATACGAACCCTATAAATTATAAAACTGGCGATATGATATTACTAAAAAACGAGCAGCGTATGAGCAAATTTGATCAGCTTTATGTAGGTCCTTTTAAAGTGTTAGAAGATTGTGAACCAAATTTAAAAATAGATTATAAAGGAAAACAATTGTTAGTTCATAAGAATAGAACAAGGCCATATAAAAGGTAATTTCATTAAAAAAAAAAAAAAAAAAAAACGGTGGGCGTGTAGTGTGTATGTATGTATACATGTCCATTGCTAGATCTAAGTGTGTAATTCATATATATCGGATTGTATCCAATATTTAGAGGAGTATTAAATGTAACTTCAAACAATAAAGTTGTTTCTCTAATCTCCCCGATGCACCACCTTACAGGGTGCTGACAAGCACATACGAAAACCATTAACACACATAATCTTTTTATAGTACTTGTAAGATACAAAGGGGCGTAAAAATACCTCCGTACCGAGTTCTGTACATATTCCTTGAGAACATTTTATAGGTCTCAATCTTATACTATTATATCTTAAACTATTATATAAAGCGGAAGAGTTTATTTTTTTGTTTGTTTGAACGCGCTAATCTCCGTAACTAAAAGTCTGATTTGAATAATTCTTTTTGTGTTGGATAGCGCATTTATCGAGGATGGCTATAGGCTTAAAATATCACTCTACGATAAATAGGAGCTGAGCAGAGCGTGTGAGACCGCGCGGAAGTAGCTAGTCTCAAGATAAATGACAGACTAAAACTGATGACGATTGCTTTAGGATAAGTCTAAAAGATAGATTAGCCAAATAACGATATTATTACGAAAAACTCTTGACAACGATCTAGTTCATCAATGACATTCATACCTATGTGCCACAGTCCTCTCCTGCTGCCTCTTGGCCTGGCTGTCCGCGCGCTTCCTGGCCGCCTCGTCCCGCGCAGCTTGCAGCTCGGACAGTTGTGCCTGTAACTCTCCCAGCTCTGTGTTCAGGACATCCAGCTCTCCCTCCTTACTATCCGTGTCTAGATCTCCGTTCTCAAAGTCCCTGGAAACAAGATACAATTTAGTGATTAATAAAAAGCAGGTATCGCTATATTTGAATGGGTGAATGGTTACAAAATCCATTATATCTGCCAAGCACTTGATGTTTCTATTACTGCTGAGCTTTTTTTTTAAGGGGGGAAAATCATCGAATGACTGCTCCCGCCTGGGTGAGGCGGAAGGGAGTGTCAGACTCTTACTGACTAAAAACCACCCCGTTCCTTCTCCTGCACGTCGAGCCGGAGCCCCGGTTACCCGTTAGATTCTCCGCGACTCCGAATATTACTGCTGAGCTAGTGTCTAACTGTCAATTCGATCTCTAGAAGTGAGCTTAATCGCATTCTCGCCGTCGAGATTATTCTCACAACCGGACATGACAGACAGAGATACAGTTCACATTGGTCTTTCGAATTGAAAATTACAGAATACACAATTATGTACTTAGATTGTTTTCTTCGTCATTGTTTAACCACTATAAAGTATAGCTTTACGAAATTCACTCGTGTAAGCAAAATGCCTAGACGTTTTGTTTGCTATGATTATTACACTAGGGTTTTTAATGCAAAAATATTTTGGCTAATGTATGTATACTAGATACCTACAATAATCTCAAAACAACATAACATATAACATCACGCCTTTTATCCATGAAGGGATAGGCAGAGGTGCACATTACGACACTTAATGCCACTGTACAATGTAACTCCCACTTTCCACTATGGGTATTATGAGTCTTGTGTAATAGAGGGTGAGCCTATTGTCATTTATGTTCATCTCAAAATCTCAATGTTTCACAATAGCAACCAGTAGGAATCGGCAGTAAAAACTTACTTCAAACTATCAGAAAGCTTCATGATCTCGTGCAACAAATTGTTAGCCGAGTCCAAGTTGGGCTTGATGGTTTGCAGGTTTTTGAGGCTGTTCTCCTTCTGCATCAGAATAGCTCGGAGGGAGTCCAGCTTCTCCTCCAACTCTTGAAGATTCTGTGTGGCCTGTTCTGCCTGGACTTTGATGTCATCTGCGTCGTACACTCTGAAATAATACATAAGTCAGAATGAATAAGAAAGAAAATCGTATAACTTTAATATGAGATAATATTTCACAGATAAATAAATTAGTAGAATGCTTCAGAAAGTTAGCGCATTTAATTTAAACGACGCATACTTTTGTTTTGCGTAAGATGCACAAGTATAGGACACTCGAATGACTTCTCCTGCCTGGGTGAGGCGGGAGGGAGTGTCAGACTCTTACTGACTAAAAACCACCCCGTTCCTTCTCCTGCACGTCGAGCCGGAGCCCCGGTAACCCATTAGGTTCTCCGCGACACAAATTAAGTATAATTAATTAATATATTAAACAGTCACTACAAATACCTACTTGTTTTGATGAAATTTCACAATACCAATGTCGAGGTATACCTCGTAGCGCTCCCGTTTTGAAGCGCGCCCATCTAAGCGCTCTACAATAAAATAAAAAAAAATAATTACCAAAGCCGTGCGAAACCGGGACGGGCCGCTAGTTGTATATTATAAGAATGTGTTCTACTTATTACCTAGTTCTTATCGATAATTTCAGTTAGTATAGTCCTATCTCTATCCGAAAGTTAATCATGGGAGCGCTTAGAGGAAATAAATTTAATAATATAACAAAACGGGAGCGCTTAGATGGGCGCGCTTCAAAACGGGAGCGCTACGAGGAATACCTCCCAATGTCGATCCATACCCCCAGGCTTACTCTTGAATCCAATTCCGATCGATCGACATTGGTATTGCGAAATTTCGTACTCTTGAGTTACAACACTAGCGCCCATTGCATCCGTATTGCGTGGATATTGATCGAAATGAATGGTATTGAGTTTGGCTTTATATTCCGTACTCTGAATGCTATTTCAACAGCTACGATTGTGGTTGTATAATGTTGACAATGAATAATTATTAAGATTTTATTGGATTCAAATTGCATTGACCTTAAGATTGGTTTCAAGAGTAAGCACCCTGGTCAATTAACTGGCGACAGTAAAAAATAAAACTTAGAATTACATACCTAAGTGCCCTTTTCCTAGCTACTTCAGCCATCAGCGCATCTCTATGACTCTTCTTCTGTTCTATAATCATCTCAGTCTGCTTGTTCTCCTTCTGTATAGCTTCTAACTCCAGTTTTTCTTCATCATGGATTTCTTTCTCTTGTTTCAATTCTTCTTCAAACATTTTTATATCGTGGTCAAGCTGGAATGATTAGTAAAGAATAATTTAGATTTATATTATTATATATATATAATTTAGATTTAGAGGCACATGATTTGTTATTATAGTTTGCCTCTACTTGGTCGCGGGGGCATACTCTGTCCTGATAGGCTACTCAAGTAAAGATCATACCATCTTAAGAGTACTTTTACATGAATGCAGAGCAATATGAGAAGCCGGAAAAAATGGCATAACTGAAGAACTGTAAATGGTACGCAATCTTTCATGGGCTGTATAGCGGATTTGTTAACTACAACCAGAGTCCAGCAGCTGTAGCCAAATGCCACTTAGCGCTTGTCTAAATGTAGAATAGAAAACCAAATTATATGGGAATGACGTAAATTTTTACGATTTACGATTTACGATTACGGGGACGATTCGTCCCCATACATTTAGTTTTCTACTCTCACGGTAGACAAGCGCTAAAGTGGCGTTAGGCAAAAGGCACAGAGTAGTTTAAAGTAACATATTAACAAAAGCAAACTTTCAGTTACCTTTTCCAGTCTTCCAGCTCGTTTTCCTTTTTCTTCAGCCTGTTCATTTAGCATTTCCAGCAGTCTATTCTTCCTTTCCTCTAAAGCTTTAACCTGCAATAAAGGTAATCATTTGCATAACATGTCTTTTTTATTTTGTTTTCCACATCACAATGAAAATTCACAAAGTGTGACTTTTGTGTCAAGAAAGTACATAATATTAAACAACATTTGTCCAATACAATGGAGTGGGATCTATTAAATAAGATGAAAAAATTTGCAATACTGACCTCGCCAGTCTTCGCAAACAACTCCTCTTCATATGGAGCAATATTCCTCATCTTCTCTTCATTGAACACCATGAGGTTGAATAGCAACAACAGTATGGAGTGTGACGTAGTGGCCGTTGGTTGAAGGAAGTGTACGATGCTGATTGTAGCCTCTACTTGTGGCATCACGGAGACAAGGTGATTGATGACTCGAGTCATGTTGATAACGGGAAGGAGGTCCCAGTAGTACATTGTGTTTTCGTTGCGGTCTTCTTTTGGAGGTGGCTGTAAGCAAATCGTTAATAAATGTGTCAGTCAGCTAATTCAAAGTATAAATTAAGAAGGGATAATTGAGAAAGTTTTTATAATAGCTATCGTCAGACAAACTGAATTAATTACCGGTTGCTCACGTGAATGTGTTGCGTGGAGTAGTCTATGTGACGTCGTCACGATTATGCACGTTGCTCATGAGGAAGACTCTCTGTAGTTCGAAACTAGAAGAGCTTTTCTCAGTATATTCACGTGAGTAACTTGCAATTTTTAGCTAATTCATTGGGAAAATAATATAAAATAAAAGGTGCAAACTAATAAATAAGATAAAGTATTTCACTTCATACAACAACTACTTATCTACAATAAAAATACAGACACCTTCGTACAAGTTCATTTTACGTTTAATGTATTCAAAACGATAATGCGTTCGGCACTCTGATTGGCCGGCAATGAAACAACCAATTGCAGCACCGAACACATACTTGTTACGATTACTTTAAACATAAAACAAACTTATACTAAGGCCACTGACCATTTCATTATGAATGAAATCATACATACATACACAACTAAAGTGTACCTTATTGCTATAATCAATTAAGTTTAAAATAAAACCTTAGCATACTTACAGCCAGAACAACATCTGTATCAATACCAAGTCTGTCAAGCACTTGAAGCAAAGCTCCCATCACTGCATGAGGTTTCTTCAGGTCCTCAGCTGTCAGCGGATAGTTTGGAAAGTCCCCATTCCAATTGCCTATGAAGTTCTCCATAAACGCTTGTGCTGTAATTACAAGTGTTTATTATAAATATATTCTTATAGGAACTGCCTTGTTTGCCGAGTGGTCCCAAGTGCAACTGCCAGGCAAGGGGTCTCGGGTTCGATTCCCGGGTCAGGAGCAAAGTATTACCGGGTTTTTAAAAATCTCAGTAGTGGCACAGAGTGTGGAAATACATAATACAACATAAATAGTGAAAAGTGGGTGTTACATTGTACAGTGGCATTAAGTGCCGTAATGTGCACCTCTGCCTACCCTTTCGGGGATAAAAAGGCGTGATGTTATGTTATGTCTGATAAGAATTGGCTACCTAAGTATTCTTAGGCATGCCATCAAAAACGGGCATGATAATCATCTAAATAATCCACAGAAACATTACAAAATAAACTGAAAATGATTGTTTAAAGCAATCGTACCTCTTTCCATTGTTACTTTTTGGGAATTCTTTTCACAATTTAACAATTTCACTTGATGTAACCCAGTTTAAAAAATCTAATTGATTATCAATACGTTTATATGCACTTTCTCGCAATATTTTGTCCCGCAAAATAAACAAACAATAACGTAAAACTAATTTCATTCAAATTCAAAATACAAGCCAAGCAAACGGTTGATTTGAATTGAATAATCTGTCAATGTCAAGTCAAACAAAAGTGCCACTGCCAAATTACACCGTTTAGAAATTGCATCAATCTTCCAATTTCAGAAAATTGCAAGTACCTTCAATAAAATTAAAAGTTTTATATTGTCTACTTGTGCATGATGATGCTTGTAATCAAATAGGAAAGGTAATTTAATTATAAAAATGTTTAATAACCAACAATAAATGATGTAATAAAAAAGTGCATCGCTAATCGGAACGTATTACGGAACGCAGTATGTTGACGTTGTCAATTTGTCACCAACTAAACGTCACCCGCGAGTCGATCGTCGACGATTTCTCGGGACGTTCGAGTTAAATTTCATTAAAAATTTCATTTGTTATGTACTAAAATAAATTAAAAAAATGAGGATCACAAATGTGCGAAGAGGCCGGATCATCCGCATGGGAGCGGCGTGCGCGATTCTATTACTTCTACTATTCGCTTTGCATAAGTGGTCCACGGATACTGGTGCTGTTGAATTCGAGCGAGAATTAAATTTGGAGTCCCAGTCTGCATTTTATAAATCACATCGTGACGTTTACCCGACTTTGAAGACAGGTAACGTAATTGTTTACTTATTTGAGTAATTTGTTGGTGTTTGTAAGTGTTAATAGCAAGTACTGTTAGTTGGCCCACGGCCCCGGCATATCGGTTCCACAGACCTCGCAATGTTTTTGTTGCGTCAGTACATGTTTTGTGTCCGTATAATTGCCGTATATCGTTATATTCACAGCTCTGTCGCAAACTATTGTGGTACAAAGTTTGTGTTAACTTTCTATTGTAATTTTACAGTTAATTGTTGTTTTATCGTGTTAGGAAGTAGTAGCTATAAAATACAAAATATATTCTTTCAATTCCAAAGTGAATAGAATAAATAGTTTCCCACATTTGATATGAAAGAGTTCAGTTCTAGATGGATGGAAATGATACAATTAAAATTTAAAACAAAGTTATGTTTTTATAATCTAATCAATAATAATTCACAGAATAGTATAATCTTAGATAGCTATCTAAGTGTCCCATATAGGTAATTAAAACCTCCTTTTAATGTGTAAATAAATTTTTTTATGTGTTTTCAATTACATTTTTTTTCTTAAACATCTGATTTTCTTTCAGTATCCTATATTATTTTCTACTTATTAATCTTATGATATAAAGATGAAGAGTTTGTTTGTTTGCCCCAAAATCAAAAACTACTGGTCCGATTTGAAAAATTCTTTTAATGTTAGATAGCCCGTTTATTGAGGAAGGTTATATGCTATAAAACATCATGCTACGATCAATAGGCGCCGAGCAGAACAGATAAAACTGCGTGGAGGTAGCAAGTTGTTAATAAAATCTTACTGATAAGTCATCTATTGATGTAGACAGTATGTATAATTCTCATAAACACAATATGCATTATTCAATGTTATACTGAATCATCTGTGGCTGATCCACATCCATTCAAATAAATATTTGTATACATATTAAGACACTGTTGTATGTATGTATGTATACATAGTAACAAGTAACAATTTAATAAAGAACAAAATAAACCAACTGTCACACTTCTGAGCACCTTCACACAGAATGCTTATTCACTCAAACAGATGATTTAACCTCTTATATTATGATACACAGTAGAAAACACATTGTGTCCCGCATATGTCTACATACCATGGCTTAAAAGTGTAAAATTTATATTACATTAGCTACTTCCGCGCGGTTTCACACGCTCTGCTCAGCTCCTATTGGTCGTAGCGTGATGTTTTATAGCCTATAGCCATCCTCGATAAATGCGCAATCCAACACCAAAAGAATTATTCAAATCAGACTCGTAGTTATGGAGATTAGCGTGTTCAAACAAACAAACAAACTCTTCCGCTTTATATAATTTATATTTCATATTTTAATTTAAAAGTGACAGACTTAATCACAATGGCAAATTAGTGTCTTCATGTTCTTCTGCTTCTTCTTCTTAGTTGTACGCTCTTGACAGAGTGGTTGTGGTCATAAATCTGGTTGTCCATCGCAGTTCAGTGTTGAAATCATGTCAGGTCATCTAAATATTATACTATTATATAAAGGGGAAGAGTTTGTTTTTTTGTTTGTTACTAATCTCCGTAACTACAAGTCTGATTTGAATAATTCTTTTTATGTTGGATAGCGCATTTATTGAGGATTGCTATAGGCTATAAAACATCACGCTACGACCAATAGGAGCGGAGCAGAGTGTGTGAATCCGCGCGGAAGTAGCTAGTAATAAAATAGATGTTATTTGTATTTAAAATGTCTTACAATGATCAATAGGCGTCTAGCAGCAATACATTTCGTATTTTTTGTTTGAACAATGACAACCTATGACTGCTAGCTAGTGTAAAGACAGTATATGCTTAGAATACTAAATAAAGAGAGAGCTACTATCATTATACTGGCTGAATGCTTTAAAAGTTAATTTTCTATTTCCCCATTTAGATAAGATAGACTTTTAAAAGAAGGTTTTAAAAAAGAATAATGTCGAAATACTCAAATGCTACTCAATTTAAGTCTTGCTTAAATACATAGTATCGTTACTACAAATCTATACTAATATTATAAAGCTGAAGTTTATTTGTTTGTTTTATTGTTTTTTTGTTTGAACGCGCTAATCTCCGAAACTACTGGTCCGATTTGAAAAATTCTTTCTGTGTTGGATAGTCCATTTATCGAGGAAGGCTATAGGCTATAAAATATGACGCTACGGTTAATAGGCGCCGAGCAGAGCAAGTGAAACCGCGTGGAAGTAGCTAGTTATTTATAAAATTACAGAGATGGCACGATATTTAAGTACAGACTCAGCCTTTCAGTATTCGGGCGTAAGAGTCGAATTGTCGGAGCCGCGGAAGACTTAACGGGTTGCCGGGGCTCCGGCTCGAAGTGCAGGAGTAGGAACGAGGGTGGTTTTCAGTCAGTCTGACACTCCCTACTTCCTCTCGCCTCACCTCATAATTTCCCCCTCAAAAACAATAAAAAATGAGTAATTGTAGCCAATATTGCTATAATAAAAATAGTGCAGAATGTCTATAATTGTGTATTTGAAAATGTTTAAAAAAATATGTCTATATTAATGTTCAGGTTATAAGTATCTTTTCATGTCACCCTACTTTTAGGTGTAGTGTATGATTTTGTTTTTATTAATTTTTGACTATAAACCCAGGGACATACTGTTTTATTTATTCCGTTATGCTGGTAATTCTAAATACTAGTAGTTGTTTAGCTATTCTTTTCTTGTGAGTCATATTCAATGAGGTCAATGAACTGATTATCAATAAATAATGTTACTCGAAATCGCAACTTAAGAAAAATAGAAGATTTTTACAACTAATTTACATAGTAGTAGTAATAACACTAATATTCTAGTTAATTGTGTCGCGGAGAACCTAACGGGTTACCGGGGCTCCGGCTCGAACTGCAGGAGAAGGAACGGGGTGGTTTTTAGTCAGTAAGAGTCTGACACTGTCGCGGAGAACCTAACGGGTAACCGGGGCTCCGGCTCGACGTGCAGGAGAAGGAACGGGGTGGTTTTTAGTCAGTAAGAGTCTGACACTCCCTTCCGCCCCACCCAGGCGGGAGCAGTCATTCGATGACTTTCCCCCTTTAAAAAAAAAAGTGTCTGATACTCCCTCCCGCCTCACCCAGGCGGGAGCAGATATTCAATGATTTTCCCGCTTAAAAAAAAAATCTGGTTAAATGTGAAAGTTCTTTGTTTGCATGTTTGTCCGTTAATCACGCTGAAAGTACCATACGGATTTTGATGAAATTAGTTATACAGACAGGATATGTACTGACTTAGGTGATATGATACTTTTTATTCCGATTAAATGCTCCCATTGGATAAAACATGAATCATATTCTACGCGGCCGAAGTCTCGGGCAACAGTAACTAATAATAATATGTCTTTGTTTAAACATATTATAGAAAATGTGACTAAAATGTGTGTAAGTACATAGCTCTCAGAGTCGGTACATGAATCAAAATCACGTCACACTTGTTTATTTATCAACCAGTCTTTGAATTTTATAAATAAATATGAAATGATAATGAAGAGTTAGTCTTTCACTTTGCGCTATGCAGTCTAAAATGGCGAAAACTGGTCGCAGATTGTACGACAGTCTACAAAACCGGTTTCATTAAATATAGGCTAATACTGGAATAAATTATCTCTTATAATGTTCGGGCGGACTGCCTCGTTAGCTAAATGGTCGCAAGTGCGACTACGTTGTAAGGGGTCTCGGGGTCGATTCCCGGGCCGAACAAAGTACTACGGGGTTTTTAAAAAAAGTCTCAATAGTAGCACGGACCCTGGAATTGTGGCTATAGACTCATCCCTACATAAGACTCGTAACATAAGTGAAAAGTGAGCTTTACATTGTATAAAATGCGTGACTTTGTGACTTTTTGTTATCTCTTTATGTTTATTTTAAGACATTGAATTTTTGATATCGAGACTTTTTATATAACTAATAGGTAACTATTTTTAAAGAGTCTTCGGTAGTCTATCTTGGTCTAGACTGGTCGTAAAGACACTAAAGATTATAAAACAGGTTCGAATAATTGAATTAGTAATAGGTACCTTAATTAAATAGTCTATTAACCATAAAATAAAAACTTAGCAGGTAATCAAGCGCTTTCACGTACTGTTCAGTCATATCATATTTCTTTGTATGGCATAAGCCGATAAACGAGCTGACAGATCACCTGATGGTATGCAATCGGCGTCGCCCATGGACACCTGGAATACCAGAGGCGATACAAGTGTGTACCGGCCTTTTGGAGATTAGGAGCTTGAAGATCGTTAGGGATTGGGGAGATTGGGGAAGTAGAGGGGGGTAATTGGGTCTCCGGTAACCTCACTCACACGACGAATAATAACGCAAGCATTGCTTCACGTCGGTTTTCTGTGACGTCGTGGTATCACTCCGGTCGAGCTGGCGCATTCGTACCGAAGCATGGCTCTCCCACACTTGTAATTCGTTACGTATTAAATTATTAGCTTCTGCCAACGGTTTCGCCCCCGTTCCTGTGAGATAAAAAACCTATGTGTCATTTTAGACAATAATTCCTACTTCAAATTATCAAATTTTACCCCAATCCCCTAAACAGTTTTGACGCACTTTCGCATTTAACCTGTTGTAATATCTTAAATATCATCCCCTAAATTTGTTCATACAAAAGTAGTCTCTAAACATCGGAAATAAGGTCTATAATGTAGTTAGTGGAAAGCGGTCACCGCTGACCGCTTGGGTATATACGAGTAAGTATAATATTTACACTATCAATAAGATAATTTAATTACGAGTATGTAGCAGCACTAGAATTCAATACTTTACAATACTTACCTGCCATTTTAAATTCACATTACCTATATTATAACAATACAATTATGACTTTATAACACATAATAAACCGGAAAATTACCGTTGTCGCAGTGAAATTGCGATTAAAACAAAATGAAATGGCGTACCGAATAGGCATTTTCAGTGGTAGTGAATTCTGCGTCTACGGCTAATTGTGGGGAAAATACTGAAAATTAATCGGAACGATTTTACTTTATTTTCACTCGTGCTTTATCCAATGAAGTGGTGAAATCGTGGGTGATTCTACTTCGAAACGAAACGAATAGGCCAGCTGAACTACCACAGCCTCACACAAGGCCCATTGCCGCATCGCACTTGTAGGTTCTCTAGTGGTGCAGGTACAGCGCCGATTGCTTACCATCAGGTGACCCACCTACTCTTTTACCTATCTATACCGTAATAAAATGTATGTAACACTTAATTCTTTGTTCCAGAACTCGGTAACTTCGAGCCGAGAGACCTGCATGTCGTGAAAGGCCCCGGTGAAGAAGGCAAGCCTTACCACATGGCCCAGGACAGGGCCAACGATATTGCAGAGTCCGAGGGTGAATACGGCATGAACATAGCAGCCTCCAATGATATCGCTATGAACAGGTTAGTGGGAATTTCGTGTATATTTATTACTAGCTTTTACCCGCGGCTTCGCTCGCGTCACAAAAGGATAAAAAGTAGCCTATATGACATGTACGAATACACACGGCGCCATCTATACCAATAATTTCGTTTTCCCTCGAGAATATCAATTTTTTCGGGATAAAAAGTACCCTATTATTTAATCTGGACTTCTAACTTTACATCTGCACAAGATTCAAAGCAATCGGTTTAGTAGTTACGACGTGAAAGCGGAACAAACAAGCAAACAAACTCACTTTCCGATTTATAATATTAGTAAGGATGATACTTATGATAGCAATAAAGCTTACGGGCCTTCGTATGGTAAACGGTAACCGTCACCATCATATCAGCTACAAGACGTTCACTGCTGAAGTGCTGAAGATAGTACCTACAGACAATGATTATATGTATATACTAGCTGTTGCCCGCGACTTCGTCCGCGTAGATTAATAACTTCTGACTGAATCAATTCAGTGCCCAAGTAAGATTTAGCTATTTTGAAATGATTTATCGTAGTTTCAATAAATAAATAATCCCGCAGGGGTCTTACCAGTACAGTGCCCGATCACGTAAGGTTTGAGTAATAAAACTATTCTATCGACTATTGTTGTACCGAATCTCTCTAAAATAAGTTCAGTGGTTAAGAGTTAGAGAGTCCTGGGGCATTGACGAATAGTTCCCGTTCCCGTGGGACATCTGTGATAAAAACTATCAAACGTTACCCAGGTCCCAAATCATCGTTTTACCGAATGTAATTCAAAAAGATTCAATGATTCTAAATTCAATGGCTAAGAAGATTTTTACAAACTCTCATTCCCTATTTTATCCCCTTAGGGGTGGAATTTATCAAAATCCTTTCTAAGGAGATACCTATGTCATAGTAAATTTATGCATGCAATGTGTCAGCCCGATCAATTTAAAACTGGCAAAGTATCATACTTTGGGGTGAGAATGTTCAAAAACCTTTCTAAAGGGACGTTTACGTCATAATATCCATCTGCACGTCGAATTTCAACCCGATCGGTGTAAAACTGACAAAGCTTCATACAAACGTTCATCCCCTACATTACCCCATTGGAGGTGGAAATAATCAAAATCCTTACTTGGGATGCCTACGTCATAACATCTACCTGAATGCCGAATTTCATCTGCATCGGTGTAAAACTGACAAAGCTTCATACAAACTTTCATCCCCTATTTTACCCCCTTGGGGGTGGAAATTATCAAAATCCTTTCACAGCGGATTACTACGTCATAACATCTATCTGCATGCCAAATTTCAACCCGATCGGTTTAAAACTGACAAAGTCCCATACAAACTTTCATCCCCTATTTTACCCCCTTGGGGGTGGAAATTATCAAAATCCTCTCACAGCGGATGCCTACGTCATAACATCTATCTGCATGCCAAATTTCAACCCGATCGGTTTAAAACTGACAAAGTCTCATACAAACTTTCATCCCCTATTTTACCCCCTTGGGGGTGGAAATTATCAAAATCCTTTCACAGCGGATGCTTACGTCATAACATCTATCTGCATGCCGAATTTCATCTGCATCGGTGTAAAACTGACAAAGCATCATATAAACTTTCACCCCCTATTTTACCCCCTTAGGGGTGGAAATTATCAAAATCCTTTCAAAGCGGATGCTTACGTCATAACATCTATCTGCATGCCAAATTTCAACCCGATCGGTTTAAAACTGACAAAGTTTCATACAAACTTTCATCCCCTATTTTACCCCCTTGGGGGTGGAAATTATCAAAATCCTTTCACAGCGGATGCTTACGTCATAACATCTATCTGCATGCCGAATTTCATCTGCATCGGTGTAAAACTGACAAAGCATCATATAAACTTTCACCCCCTATTTTACCCCCTTAGGGGTGGAAATTATCAAAATCCTTTCAAAGCGGATGCTTACGTCATAACATCTATCTGCATGCCAAATTTCAACCCGATCGGTTTAAAACTGACAAAGTCCCATACAAACTTTCATCCCCTATTTTACCCCCTTGGGGGTGGAAATTATCAAAATCCTCTCACAGCGGATGCCTACGTCATAACATCTATCTGCATGCCAAATTTCAACCCGATCGGTTTAAAACTGACAAAGTCTCATACAAACTTTCATCCCCTATTTTACCCCCTTGGGGGTGGAAATTATCAAAATCCTTTCACAGCGGATGCTTACGTCATAACATCTATCTGCATGCCGAATTTCATCTACATCGGTGTAAAACTGACAAAGCATCATATAAACTTTCACCCCCTATTTTACCCCCTTAGGGTGGAAATTATCAAAATCCTTTCAAAGCGGATGCTTACGTCATAACATCTATCTGCATGCCAAATTTCAACCCGATCGGTTTAAAACTGACAAAGTTTCATACAAACTTTCATCCCCTATTTACCCCCTTGGGGGTGGAAATTATCAAAATCCTTTCACAGCGGATGCTTACGTCATAACATCTATCTGCATGCCGAATTTCATCTGCATCGGTGTAAAACTGACAAAGCATCATATAAACTTTCACCCCCTATTTTACCCCCTTAGGGGTGGAAATTATCAAAATCCTTTCAAAGCGGATGCTTACGTCATAACATCTATCTGCATGCCAAATTTCAACCCGATCGGTTTAAAACTGACAAAGTTTCATACAAACTTTCATCCCCTTTTTTACCCCCTTGGGGGTGGAAATTATCAAAATCCTTTCTTAGCGGACGCCTACGTCATAACATCTATGTGTATGCCAAATTTTAGCCCAATCTGTCCAGCGGTTTGGGCTGTGCGTTGATAGATCACTATGTCAGTCAGTCAGTCAGTCAATCACCTTTGAATTTTATTTATAGATAGAAGATAGATATGAATTTTATAGATTTACCTATTTTGAAATGATTTATCGTAGTTTCAATAAATAAATAATCCCGCAGGGATCTTACCAGTACAGTGCCCGATCACGTAAGGTTTGAGTAATAAAAACTATTCTATCGACTATTGTTGTACCGAATCTCTCTAGAATAAGTTCAGTGGTTGAGAGTTAGAGAGTCCTGGGGCATTGACGCATAGTTCCCGTTCTCGTGAGACATCTGTGAAAAAACTATCATACGTTACCCAGGTCCCAAATCATCGTTTTACCGAATTTAATTCAAAAAGAATCAATGATTCTAAATTCAATGGCTAAGAAAATTAATACAAACTCTCATTCCCTATTTTATCCCCTTAGGAGATACCTTTTTGAGGAGATACCTATGTCATAGCAACTTTATGCATGCAAAGTCTCAGCCCGACCAATTTAAAACTGGCAAAGTATCATACAAACTTTCACCCCCTATTTTACCCACTTTGGGGTGAGAATCTATCTGCATGCCAAATTTCAACCCGATCGGTTTAAAACTGACAAAGTCTCATACAAACTTTCATCCCCTATTTTACCCCCTTGGGGGTGGAAATTATCAAAATCCTTTCTTAGCGGATGCCTACGTCATAACATCTATCTGTATTCCAAATTTTAGCCCAATCTGTCCAGCGGTTTGGCCTGTGCGTTGATAGATCACTATGTCAGTCAGTCAGTCAGTCAATCACCTTTGAATTTTATATATACACCGTGATATTTTAATGGTTGTTTTCCCGCAGCAAAACGATTTCCCTTTAGTAGTACTATCGAATAATGCAAGTTACTTTTTGAAAAAAAAAATTTTTTTCTCCTCATCTACTCAAAAAAATAATCATCAACTCGAAAGCATGAGAAACGATAGTTTCTCTTCTAAAATGTGACGTCAAATCAATGTTCATAGTAAAATAATCTCTCGTACTAAGTAATACAGCATAAACTACAATGCACGCGCGCGCGAGCGGATCGCCTCACGAAGTCACAACAAACAACAAAGGCAACCACCGCTCTCTCTGTCACTCGCATCGGTTCGCACCGGCTCGCATGGCTTTCATTCGCACCAGTCGCACCGCGAACGCCGTCCGCGCAACCGCGTAAGCGCAGTACAATATTGTTGCCGCCAAAATGGATTGCCATTAGGTTTTTTCTAACGTGGAGTACGTAGCTATGGTGCAATTGTACGCGAGGGCAAATTATGATTCGCATGCCGCCCGTCGACTTTACGAGGAGCCGCGGCACATGGAGTCACTTCGTCTTCGCGGCTTCATTTTGTGACAGGACACTTAACTGGTGAAACGTACCTACAAATGCTACGTAGTGTTATCCCGGACTTACTAGATGACATTCCGTTAGCAGTGCCAATGGATGGCCTGTATTACCAGCACGATGGTTGCCCTGCGCATTATCAGCGCGCCGTGCGAGAGCACCTCGACTCGGTGTTTCCCCAGCGCTGGATCGGTCGTGGTGGGCCAGTGCCATGGCCACCACGAAGTCCGGATCTTACTCCAATAGACTTTTATTTGTGGTCTAATTTCAAACGCCTTGTGTATCGGCAAGAATACGAAACTCGCGACGCGTTAAAAAGTGCGATAGTGGACGCTTTTGATGTGATTATACGTGACAGAGACAAATTATTAAAATTGAAAGCCAATCAGTTAAAACGTGCACGATTATGTGTGGAACGCGGTGGCTTACACTTTGAACAATTGCTCCGTTACCGGGAAGTGTAAGTACTTGTACATTTGTAAATAAACAATAAGTTGTGTGATTAAAATCGTTGTAAATACGTTGATTCCCATTTTTTAAATACGCCTTAAATACTTTGCCAAATTCAGTAATAAACAAGATATCTCTTGATTAAATTTTGTTTATGTTTGTGTTTAGTAAGTGTAGTTAAAAAGTATTTACGACGGTCCCAAGCCCGTTAAAGTATGAAGGGAAAATGGAAATCACTTGTTAGTAAATACTGAGTTATCAGCCTTTTGATAAGCGCGAGCGACAATGACAGCGGCCGGTGGCCGGTCGCGGCGGCGGTACTATTGGTTCGCGGTTTCTTTCAAGTTTCGTGTATCACTATCGTAAA